ATGGATTGCTCAAAGATATTATATCAGATAGGAGGATTTAATTTATATCAAGATTTTAGAAAATCCTTTTCAAGATATTAAAGGTGGATATAAAGCTCTCTTTGGCTTTCATCTTCAAATTGATGGACAAATAGAATGTGTGAATTAAGTTATACAGTAGTATTTGAAGTTATTTGCATATAATAATCTTACGATAGAAGATTTGAAAAATCATTTATTAGAACTACATCCAATAATGAAGGCATAATTAAAGGATGCTCAAGAATAGCAAAAGATCAATGTGCATGCCTATTACAAAGAACAACTACAATTCAACGTGAGTAATAAGGTATGGCTATTTTGTCACAATATCAAGATTACTTGTCATTGTAATAAGTTGGACTATGGTAGGCTAGGACCTTTTCCTACAGGTGAATAAGTCAATTATGTTGCTTATTAATTATATCTATGAAGATCCATCTTATATTACATATATCTTTTTTTGAGCCATATAAATCAATGAATATCTTAAGAAGAAGACAAATGCCACTTCTTCTTACATAAGTCAAAAATATTCAAGAATTTGAGGTAGAAGAAGTCTTAGATTTAAGGCGACCTTGAAATAGGTTAGAATATCTTATTTATTGGCACAAATATGATATTAGTAAATGTACATGAGAGCTACTAAAGAATCTTGTAAATACAACAAAGAAGGTTGAGATTTTTCACTAATGACATTTATGAAAACTAAGATAAAGAATAGAAAATTTTTGCTATAAAAGAAATAAAAACTAAAGAAGATAGCATTCTATATTCTATTCTTATTTGATACTTTTGTATATTTGTAACACTGTAGAGATGAAAAATCAATAATTAGCAGATTCAATTCAAGAGCTACTACTTACTAACTTATTGGACAAAATATTATGATTGTCACAACCTTCAAGACAACATAATCAAGATGAAGATTTTTAAGAACTTATTTTTTCTTGAATAGATAGTAAGATACAATGTGTTTGATATCACGACTTTAAAAGAGACTCTTGATGTTTGGTGATTTTATTAGAGGTTGAAACAACGTTTAAGGGTATTCTAAATGTTTTATTTGAAAGAAGTTATAAAGGCCTAAACAATGATCAAATAATAGGGTGGTCTTTCTATTTTAATATGGAACGCTATTGATGGCTAAGAAGACATATCAATTTCTCTTTGAAAAAAATAAAGATTATAATATGTAGCAAAAATAATTTATTGTATCTTGAATTTTTTCAAAATATGATCACTGCTCCTCATAGAACTCAATTTCAAAAGGAGGAGGTAATATCACGGACATACATATTTATTATGATTTTTATCTATATGATTAAGTAGAAATAAGTAAAAGTCGATTTATTTCATAATATTTTTAGAAAAGCTTCTTAAAAGCGATTTTTAAATCTTTTTGAGTGATATAAGAGTGTATTGATGTTTCAATTTTTTGAGATTTATATCCTTGATACTATTTGAGAGATATACTTTTCTAGCAACAATAATCTTAAAATATTTGAATTAAAAGGAAATTTAATCACATTAAACATTATTAAGTTATTATGATTTTAACTTGCTACATCTAAAAGAACTATTTTATAGGTAATGTATCCAGAGAATAATAAATGATCATCTATAAATACTACATGTATGGATTTATTTTTCTTAATTAAATATATGGCTTATTTTTTAATAAAGGCTTTTTTTATAAAAATAAGCTAAAATTCATGAATTTAATAAAGCAAAGATTTTGTGATTTTTTTTATCCTAAAAAAACTTCTATTATAAAATAAGATGAAGAATTTGAAGAGAAAATATAACTTTTAATAGATATTATGTAAGATTTCAACCAAACGGTTCTTTTTATAGTTAGAAATACTTACTTTTTATACATTGTCATTGTCAGCAACCATGCTCTTCATTCTAAGATTATTTTACTTTCTTTGATAATATTGATGAGTGTACTTAGATTCTCTATATTATAAGCACAATCTTCTTTAATAATATTGAGTCTTTTCTTTCTCTATAAAAGATTTGAAATATATCGTATAAATTTGCATAGGTTTTAGTCTTGACAAATAAGCTTTTCAAAACTTAGAAGTTCTTGCCATAACTTGACTCATATTTCTTTAGCCAAAACTTTATTTTTAATATCTTTCAAAAAATTGATTATTGCATATAATAACTTAAATAATAAATTATTCCAATAAGTTTGATCTTAACATTGTCAATAATAAATCTTTGGCATTGTTTTTTAATTCTTATAAAAATTAATTGACAAGGGCTCTATCACTTCAATCTATGTCACAAGCAAGGTTTTGGAATTTTGCAGCAAATATGGTAGCTAAATGTGATCATTATTGTAAAAATAAGAGTTTAATCTTTGCTACTCTTATTTGATTATTTTTTCCAAATATGGCTAGAAAGACTTCTAAGAATGAATTCAAATTATAAAAGAATCATGAATCTTCTTCCATTAAAGGTGCAAACCAAAAGAGAGTAATTTTAAATAGAAGTATACCTATAAATTCAACTTATTAAATCTGTTAGGACATTGGAAGGGATGCAACCTTAAATAAAGCTTCACTTACTATAAAAATCTTCAAAACTTTGATCTTATTCTACCAAACTTTTGTGGCATGTTTATCCTTGTTTCCCTCATACTTGTAGAAGTAAGACTTCTTACATTCAACATTGAACTTGATCTACTTATTTCTCTCAATTCTACAACTTCTTAGTGTAGAATTTAAACCTTATTGTTTACTTCTTCTATAAGCATAAAAATATTAATTCCATGATTTACATTAGAAATAAGTGACATATCCAACTTAAGAGTGTTGACAAATTGGTGAAGATTTGCAATAGGTGCAAATCTATTCTCACTTCCACTGTAAGTAGCATCCATAATTTTTCCTTTTATAGACAAGCCAAATAAATTCACAAGTCAAATTAGAGGAGGATAATCTACAACCTCTAATACCAAATAAAAATTTCTACAAAGAGGGATAGTTCACTTTTTTTTAAGCAAAAAATCACTGTTAGAAAACTAAATTGTTAGTTTAAAGATAGGTGGTCTACAACCTTCAAAAGACAACAATAGAAGTCGAATAATCCACTTACTTCTAAAAACAAAACAACAACAAAAAAATAGCACTCTTGTTAAATTGTAAAGGACGTAAATTTTAAAGAACTAAAAAATCAATATACTCTTGTATGACTTGAAAAGACTAGAAATTCACTCAAAGATGGTATAATTAATAATAGCTTGTACTACTAGTGTATAAGTTTTAGCATTTAAAATAACAAAATGGTATGAATAATCTTTAAATATTTATATACCATTCATAAAAATAAATAGAGATACTATTAAATGATTATTTTAAAATTAAAATATTCAAATTTTATTTTAATTTTTTTAAAATTTGAGTATAATTTTATTATAATTCAAATATATAATTTTTAATATATATATATATATATATATATATATATATTTATATTATAAATTCAAAAAAATCATGTTTACTTATTTTTTTTATTAAAGTGTATAAGTACCAATTATAGATTTAGTATTTTTTAAGGAAAATGTTAAAATGACACATCTATTTACTAAATCAACTCACCCTATTGTAACCATCAATAGAAAAATGGATCATCTCCAAAAACCATGATTACAATCATAGCCATCATTCCCACCTTTCTTGTTCTCCCTTATTCTCTACAATAAGGTGGGTCAATTTAATAAATGGGTAGGTCATTTTAACACTTGCCTTTTTTAATTTTAATAAAATATTTCAACTTCTTTCATATTATTCATGTAAATTTTTTTTAACTTATATATATATATATATATATATACATAACAATTTATTACATTTTGATTTCAATCAATGAGTATTTTGATGAAAAATATTCTATCACAATATATTTAACTCAACTATTGACATCTTAACATTATGATAGATGTTGACATATTTACGTTATGAAAGAAACTTCATATGTACAAAATTTGAACAATAACATTTATTATCATTATTTCTTTAAGAATGGAGTATGAATTTTGATGATTTTAAATGATATCAAAGCAATAATTTGCACTAAAATATTTTGTAAAATATTGTGCATAGTTTTAAAGAGTTTAGACACTCAATTTTTAAAATAAGTTTTAGGGAAACTTTTGCAGGAGTCCTGAAAAGTTCTTAAATTTTTATCTGACCGCACTTGTAAAGACATGAATTTTTTTAAATAAATTTTTATAGTATAAATGTAGATCAAGATTCTACTGGAGAGAAATAGTTCTGCCACAATCAAATGTAACCAGAATCTATACATTTGATTTAGTACGTTGTTGTTTTTTATGGAAGTTAATTAATTTGTTTGCAATTTGTTTTAGAACTATTTTATTCATTTATATTTCCTATATTGAAACTGATAACGAAACAATATAATATAGAAATTTTATCCTTTTTTACATGCTCTAAATATTCACAACAAAGGATTAATTTATAGTATGTGTATTTTTATATGTACACACACATATATATGTGTATATATATATATAGATATATTCTTTCGTGGTTTTTTTTTAATTTCCAGTATTTTGCTTTGATTTTTTTTTAAAAATGATAATAAATTCTTTTAAACCCTCAATCAATTCGATTAATACAAGTATGTGATAAAAACAATCAATTTCAATTTCAGTTGTCTACACATATATTTATATTGAATTGTAGATGTTCAACATTTCCATTTGTATTTAGTGGCTTTAAAAATCTAAACCATGACTCTTTGTTATCCATCTTTATAGCATAATTTCACAAATCTACTCTATTTTTTCGAATGACCCTGAAAGGTGATAGCAAGATGCTTGACAAAGGCAGGTTTGGAAACGTATGGAAGGGCAATTTTTCTTACTTCGAGATTCAATAACTTAGACTCAGACAAAGCATCGAAAGAATCGAATGCATATAGTTTTGGAGTCTTGTTGCTGAAAGTTAAGGGCAGAAGGAACACGGTTTGAATTGCGTGGAGACCGAGAAGATGGTACTGGAGGATACACAAAATTGAAAACAAGTTGAGAGTAGAGCTCCAAGATTGATGACCATGTCTCAAATGAGGAAAACTAGTAGACTCCGCCTCCAGTTGCTATTAAAATGCTGCAGAATTAGTACCTACACTTACCAGGTGCCTCCATCTCAGTCATGCCAAGGCAAACTTATTCGGATCTACTACCTCTAACTGCGAGGTGCACACAAAAACAAAAATGGCCGCATGGGCGAATCCTCTTTCAGAATTCTGTCCTCACATCTATTCAATGTGTATACTTCTCTAAAGCCAAAATCTTGACACTCCGGGTGACTGATAAAGATGAAGACACTCTTCACCGCTAATCACCAGGTGTTGGACAAAAGCCCACCTCATTGGTAACGCCAAAACTAACTTGACAGCCGTGTTCAATTGTGTAAAACTACCAGACTGGTCCCTCGGCTGTGCTCATGCATTTTCAAAGCAGTTGGACAGGCCAGGATTCTCCCAATATCGTTTCCAGAGAGCTTAAATGGTTCAGTGTCATCACATCAATGTCGGAAGTGACGAACTTCAGTGAAAAGCATAGCTACTCCGTACTTGTTGCAGCAATCGATAGCGTCCTGGTCGCGCATGCTACCACCAGGCTGTGCTATGACCTTCACACCGGCCTTGCAAGCATCTTCCACAGCATCATTCCAGGCGAACGGAAAGAATGCATCACTAGCAAGAGCAGCACCTTTGGCTTCCTCCCCAGCTTTTTCCAAAGCTATTTGCAAACTCTTGACACGGTTAGGTTGGCCACTCCCCATACCCAACATCCGGTTATCCTACAAGATGACAAATTCTAGCGGCGTTAATACATAGTCAAATTGAGAAAAATAGAGACAAAATATGTAATAAAGAACTTCGTTATAACAATATAATGCTAGTAAGGGAACTGGACACAGAGAATGCAAACATACCTTAGCCACAACAATGGCGTTACTCTTAACATGCTTGCAGCAGAGCCAAGCAAATTGTGCATCATCTACAAGCTCCAAGGTTGGGACCTTGCTTGTAACAACTCTGAAACCGAGGTCCTCGGGTGTCTTATCATCAGAATCCTGAAGCAACCAGCCGCCACCAATTTGCCGCAAAGACCGTCGGCCCTTTTTAGTGTGCTCTGCCTTCAAAATCCGCAGGGTTTTAGATTTTCCCTTCAATATCTCCAGACCTTTCTCTGTGTAACTAGGAGCCACCACAATTTCATAGAACATCCGGGTCTCGCCATCCGTGGGACTTCGGAATTCCCGAATCTCCCGTGCAAGGGTCTGTGAAAACAAGAATGAAATTAGGCCGTAGTAGATATGGTGGGACTAAATATGGCTGGAAAAAGTTTTAAAACTCGCATGCAGCAACAAATATTAGAGTGACAAAGGTTACTGAGAAGCGGCAAAGATTTACCTCATCCACTTCCACATTGAACGCGACAATGCCTCCGAAAGCACTCACAGGATCAGCCCTCACTGCAAGTCGGTAGGCTTCCAGCAGCCCTTGGTTTGGACCAACAGAAGCAACTCCACAAGGATTAGTGTGCTTGACCACAACACAGGTAGGATTGTTGAACTCGCATACACAATTCCAGGCTGCGTCGGCATCCAAATAGTTGTTGTATGACATTTCCTGTTCAACAAACATGGTTCAACATCTTCACTCAGAACCTGACTCGCAGCCACAAACAATATGCCAAAAAACACAAGACTATTAATGGTGATTATACAGTAATCAACTCATGACGCACATTCGGGGCAATAAAAGTATGTCATCTTATCAGGTACTCACCTTGCCGTGATATTGGACTGAAGTGGCGATGCCCCCTGCTCCAAACTCACAGAGGGACTTGTCTTCGTAGAAAGCAGCCCGCTGATGTGGGTTCTCACCATACCTCAACTTTTGTTTCAAGCTCAGAGGTACTGTCAGACTTGGTGGGAATTCAGTCGTTTCTTCTGTAAATTGCCCAAAAAAAGTCTCAATAGTGAAACTTGGGCAACAGACACGAGATACTCTGGACTCAAATGCAAGCTTAAAATTGTGCCATCATCGAAAAAATGAGCTGGGCTTCAATCTGCTTTAAATAAGTGATGCTAGAAAACAACCAACGTACCACCATCTCGTTGATGCTTCCATAACCACTCAGCCACAGCTGAGTCATAAGATGAGGCGTGCTGGAAGGCTTTCCATGCCAACCTCCTCCGGAAGCTAGAATCACCGTCATCATCACTCTGCAGCTTTCCTAGAATCTCTGGGTAATCGTCAGGGTCCACTGCTACTATCACGTCCTTGTGATTCTGTAAGACCAGTCAATGTACGTGTTTTAGATGTAATAGATTACTATTATGATCCGATATGATACTAGCTTCAACATTCACATTAGCCTCCTTCGGTGCATCAAGAATGAGATTAGATGCATTCCCATTGGGGTGCATCAAATAACGAGGAACGAGGAATGTAGAAATTGAGGACGATTGATAAGTGGAACGTAAGAATAGGGCTACAATAGCAAGTTGAACATTTGCAGGTGTCAGGAAACGACCCGGGGATCAGATTGACACGTTTGAGACTCCAATCAAGACAAATCTGAAACACGAGTCCTATCTTACCTTCGCGGCAGCTCTAATCATAGATGGACCTCCAATGTCGATGTTTTCTACTCCCGTCTCAAACTCTACACTAGAAGAAGTCACAGTACTGTAGAAAGGGTAAAGGTTCACCACCACCACATCAATAGTTCCTGAAAGAAATGAAAATTCGCCATTTGAGTATAAACTCAATGAAGTGTCCTCATGTCAGCACAGTCCAAGAACGGACAATAACATCAATCCAACTACTACAAATCTAATATGGTCTTCGACCTGGTATTGATTAACTGATATCATAAGTTCAGTTTTCAACCTAAGATAATTGTAATTATGAACAACGTTGCCATGGTCATACAAAAGCAGCACTCACCAATTCCATGCTGCTGGAGTGCTTCCAAGTGAGCTTGCATGTCTCGCCTTGCCAAAATACCGCCATGCACTGCTGGGTGTAACGTTTTCACGCGCCCGTCAAGCTTGAGGTAGCACAGACATATCACAAACATCAGCTTGCGGTGCCGTGCACGAAACTATATGTTAAAATTTAGGATATTACACGACTTGAGATGTTCCGATAGTATGTCAAACACCCTCTCATGCAGGAGGATCCACCACATAAGAAATAGCTAAGGTTTCCTCTTAGTGCGATAAGCCTTCCCTCACAATTATCAAAGAAACGAAAAATCAAATAGGAACCGAAGAATTCAGGACCGTACTATCCCTACTAGGGAAGGAACGAACCATGCATCACTATGAAAAATACGATAAATAATAATTAATAAATTATAAGAATAAAGACAGAAGAAAAGCAAGAAAGGAGAAGAGGATGATGTCATAGTCATTTACCATCTCCGGAAACGATGTCAGCTCTTCAACCCTCGTGACAGAAAAGCCTGCTTTTTCAAGAGCTGTGGCGGTACCGCCTGTTGACACCAACTTGTATCTGCAAATGAACCACCCATCCAATATCACTCGCTGCAATATACTCCAGACCTCCCATGGAACAATAAAATTGCGAGTAGAGGAACTCATAACCCTGGTAATATCCGAGGTTAAGAGCAATTATTTACCCTCAAAGGAAGTTTCACGTCTCGCAAAACATCACATATTCAAGTACATGAGAAGAAGAGAGCTTACCCAAGATCCTCAAGTCCCTTGGCAAGCAATTCAAGGTTTCGCTTGTCAGAAAGAGAAATGAGGGCCTGCTTCGCTCCTGCGAGAAACCAAAACACGCATGAAAAAAAAATCAATCTACAGAAAAGAGCCATCGACATGTGAACCCTCAGAGCGAAACATCTACCAGATAGAATGTAAAATAAAATTATTTGTTGTTAATGCAAAATACGGCTCCAGATTATCACCAAACACCATCAGAAACCCACTCACGAAAACTACAATGATCCCGAAACAAAACAAAATTGGTTAGCAATTCCGTTTAAGCAATACTCCAACAGCAGTCTCGATTATTGACGAGCTCAATCAGCTCACCCTGGCTGGAGGCACCAGGGCTGGATGGGGACGGCGAGACGGCAGGAGCGAGTGACGCATTGGCGGTCCCGGAAGCCAGAACACGAGGCGCTCCGGTCGTGACCGAGGGGGAAGTGGAGAGGCGGTGCTTGACAGAAAGAAGGACCCGAGCGCCTCCCAAGTGCGAACTTCGGGACGTGGCCATGGAGAGAGAACAGCGAGACTGTGGATGAGAAGAAGCCGAAGCCAAGGAAGAGGAGAGATTGAGAGAGAGGAGGGAGAGGGAACCTCTAGAAGTGGCGGCCATCGCTATGGCTGTTGCCCTTGCTGTTGCTAAACCTTGACTGGGATCGGAAATGGGGTTCCGCAGGGCAAGGCAACGACAAGGCAAGGCAATGGCAAGGCAAGGCAACGGGGGAACTTCGGCTTTTGGGGCAGACGGGACAGCTAAATGGGTACCCAGATAATCAGAAAAACCAGAATGTCTCACACTCCTTGCCTGTCTGAGTCTGGTTCGCAACAAGGACAATTCTATCCCCCTGTCTGTTGCAACTGTTGCTCTTCCTGTGAAGGCACTAGTAATGCTTCATTATAAATGACTAGACAGCGAGTCCGTGCTTCCTCGCTTCTCGTCAGCCGGAATCTAGGGTTTAGGGATTAACCAGTCCACCTTGTCTGCTTCCGTCCGATTCCCACGCATGCTTTTTTTGAAGTTTGAAACTTCCAGCCCTTTTCGGATCCATCCCCTGAGTTTTTTTTTTTCGTTTTTTTCTTTTCTTTTTTGATTGACGCTGGGTGGGGAGGAGCGTGTGGTCTTGGAAATCAACCAGCAATGCTGTAGCTGTGCAAGTTGAAGGATACACTGTCTGCGGGGTTCACAAATTGGATGATAACCACCGCTGTATTTTAGCAGTAGTGTTGACGTGTTTTTGTAACAGTGAATACGACTTCTGCAATCACGGAGTCTCTGAAACTGTTAAAATGTTTCGGTTGGATAAGTCGATGGTGAAGGGATTGAGGGGAATGTGGATGGAGAATACTGGAAAGTGTCATCCGAAGAGTATTGTTCGAATTGCATGATGCTCTGTGCTTGCTATCCTGAGAGACACCTAGCTTGCTGTTGTGATAAGAGCTAATAGAGAATCAAGACGGGAACCCTGACAATAGAGCTACTTGATAAGAGCAAATAAAAGAGAGCAAATTGTGCCCGGCCTCCGTTTATTCTTATTCCTTTGGTATGTGTCATCATCCTGTTTCCTGCGGTGATCATAATTCGATAAACGTGATTGCACAGTATTGGGCAGGACCCCACTTAAATATATATTCATGGGGCGTCCGTTGACGAATTTCTGCGCAATCGGGAGATTCTCTTGGAAGAGTTCTCTGCCGTCATGTACAATAGTGTTATGTAATTTTTTCATGAAACCAACTGATGTCTCATCGTCGTCGAAGATAATGAATTAATGTTTACTATTTTCGACGTTGAAAGCTGAACTCAAAACTACGGATAATTATGCATATTGTGTTACGAACTTCTTGGGCTGAGACACTCCGCTGCGTGAAGGCCCGAAGAATCTCACGTTCTTTTTCTTGACATTCCTTGCAACAGTGGATATATCCAGCAATCTATGTGTTTCTTTTGAATAAGATTCAAATAATTTGCCATTCATGTTCAAGGATCGTCTGGCAAGTAAACGCCATAATTCGCAGAGCAAGAGCGGTGCATTCATTCCATCGGAGGTTTTATTTTCCGCTTGACTGACAGGTTGAACCTTGAAAGAACCTAAGCTGAGTTTCTCGTGTCGAGCACGAAGTAGAAGTTCTGATTCTTCAAGACCTTCGATGTCTCAAAACTTTCATGTAAAGTAGCCATTCTGCCTCTGGTAGATGTTCACACAAAACAGATCTTATGGCTAATATCGTATGTTGCTAAAGGTCGCTCTGATGACACACACAATGTGTGTATAGTCGGTTAACCTAAAGTTAACCAATTCGTTCTCGTTCGTTGCCAGCTATGCTCTAACTATTTTGTACGCATTGGCTTGTTGTATTGATCACCTTCTCACAATCTCTCACCGGTGAGCCATGTCGAAGCGATTACGGCTAGACTACAGGAATTCTCTTGTCCATAGCATTGAACACAGCTAGGGCTAAACAGAATTTTGTTTCCGATCTATTGGTTCTCAAAGTCTTGTCCACACGTTGACTCACTGGTATTATGTCGTAGCAGGGCGGCTGTTAGGAGATTTTGGAGGGCCTCCGGGTTTCGTCGTAAGCCAAACAATGGATCCATCTTCAGCTTCGACAGATTCTTGCAGGGCACGCTCAACGCTTTTGTAGAACAACTCAGACCTCAAGCTTTTTTTCGTCGTCATTTTCTTTTTCTTTTGCTCTGCTCACAACACCAAGGGAGAACTCAATATACACCAGATTCACCAGAACATAGAAGTACGTAATGAGCATGAGCCTGGCAGGTGGGCATATACCAAGATCAACATTGTTGTATTTCAGTTCACGGTACTCCTGACAAAGAGCACATGGCCCAAGGAGGCAGTGAGTTGCGTAATCAGACAATGGCTCCTCCAGTAAGTTGTATTTCTCCCTTATCCGACCCCTGTACTTGGATGACAGCGTCGCACTTGATAAGCAGAATTGCATCGCAAGGTATGTGCAGCAGCTATCCTTGCTTCCTTCACTTCCACAAAATGATCACATCGTGTTCTCGTCAGCACCAGTCATTCAGATAGACCTTGCCATTCAACAAGACTAGGATGTCATTTTTCACTGCTCCCGATGAAACACAGACACCAAATCATGTGATCCACGAGGGTTACCCTAAGTTCCATTGTGTGAAGAATAACGTGGGTTACTGAAGACCGGTGAAGTCTGGTCAATACCAGGAGTATTATCGATGGCGTTGGCGAGCGTTCCAAATGTTGCCGCAGGGCAAAACAATGTTCTGAAACCTGCACCCAGTGTTACAAAAATTCAGCCTCTGAAAACCCACTTATCTCATTTTCGTTCTAGCGAATCTTCACACAACGCATGAGTTAGGGAAATTTCTTCGGCATGGAATATCGGTACATTCAGGATGCTACAATTCATGCCATGGTGCTGATATCTTACAGCTACCAATGTCTTGGCAGCAGGCAAAGATACCAGAGCTCCATGGTTTGGGTGGAAATGAAACTAATGCCGGGCCCACAGCCAGCCTGCTCTTCTGCGCTGCATCGGCGTTACCCTTAGACACATCCGATGATGCGGAATCACTCATCGTCGGTGTCTCCGCTATTCCACCAGCATCCCATTCATATCCCAATCCCGAATGTGTGCCATCATCACCAACTTTCTCGTGAGATTCACTCGAATAGCAATTTTTTTTCTCACCGAAATCGTGGAGAAGAGATCCAAACACGCAATTGCTCACACCCACAGAGACAGTTTCCTTCCCAAGTTGCAGTAACTCTTCGGTGCATGTGCGCTGCTGACATCGCCATGAGCTTGTCAACAACTCACGACACGGCAAACTTCGGCCAAGGACAGATCGGATACAAATGCTTTTGCTCACACAGATTGTTGCTCAGTGGTCTTGTGACAATTTGCCCATGTTTCAACCATGTTTTCTCATTTCACACAAATCTTCCTCTTCAGCAAAAACATATGGTGATTTGAGAGAGAGAGAGAGAGAGAGAGAGAAGAAGTATAAAGTAGGTTTTGGGATCCGAAACTGATTTTGAAGGAACACCGACCGACTTGGGGAGCTTCTGTTACTAATGAGATGTGCAGTTTCCTTTACAAAACTCATAGTTTTAAGTCTGGTTTGAGGGTTGTATACACTAAAGATGCAGTTCACCTGAAGCTCGGTTAGGGTTAGCCACAGTTGCAGAACACAGTTGGATGAATGGAGGGTCTCAGATAAGTATTGCAGAGTGTGTGTTGGTGATGCTTTTAAGAATCAAGGCCTATTGGACATTAAAGAAGTTTAGGGTTCAATTAATCTTGTATTACACATTAAAAAATTATGACCAATTTAATGCACATTGTGTTCTATTGTCATTCTACAAACCAAATTCAACTTTTGCTTTTAGTAGAAGATTCTTTTTCTTTCCTTATTTCTTTCTTTATTTTCCTTGAGCACTTAAGTTTGCACAAGTTCTTATGCACTTGTATTTTTCTTGTAGGATCTGAGACAATTTTTAAAAACGTCTTAAATTACATCCAACATTACTTATAAATAATTATGTTTGCTAAACATTCATTCTAAATGATAGATGTGTTTGTTAAAATAAAACTTATGAAATAAATTCAAAGTTATAAACATACCACACATTCATAAATACTATGTGTTTTAAAATCCAAACTACTTAATTGGAAAGATAATTCTATTATATAAAAGATATTAATAATATATTTTAACTATTCAAATAGTAATATAATAGTCTATTATAGACATACATTCATAGAAATTTGTCAAAAGTTACGTAAAATATATAATTAGAAATAAAAATAACTACCTACACCTTTAGAATGATTAATAAAAGATATAAAGAAAATGAAGAGTCTTGAATTAAATTGGAGTATAAATGAGGCATTAATAAGATTAAAATTAATCTCATTTCTACATCTGTACATACCAACTATTGAGAATGTCACATAGAAGCCTCCTAAAAACCACACCACTTGTAAGACAAGCATATAAGCTGTATGATGGCTTTTTAGACAAAAAAAACTCTTGAATTGTTTTATACTTAAATGGCCCATTTAAGGACACTTATAAGTCTACATTTAAAAAAAAATTATAATGTTTCACACAAAGATGTAATCTACCTAATAGTTTTGTGTTCAACTCTACTTATTTGAGATAAATGGATATTTAAGACATTACATTGTTCTTAAAAGCATGAAATAAAAAATGATTAATGAGATTCAAAATTATTTCATAAATTAAAGAAGTAAAATAAAAAGTAAAGAAATCAAATAATATTATTCATAATGTTTTGATAGTTAAATTGTAATTAATTATTATTGATAAAATGATTAAAAATAATTTATAATAAAACTAATCATTTATTCATTTTTTTTAATAATATCAACCCTTTATTAAAATCAAACAATTTTATTTATATGAAAAATAACTTCAGATAACCTAAGTCGTGAATAATTAGATATGTAATTTTTTTTTGTTATCAATCTGTAAATAATAAATAATTTCATCATTTTCTGTTTTAGTTTTTAGTTTTTTAAAATTTTAAATTGTACAATTACTAAAGCAATTTAAGAAAATATTATCTTAAATATTTTTATAAGCATTGGAATGTTTTTTAAAAAGTTTAATCTTTGTACAATCTATAAAACTTTATAATCAATGATGAAGTCAAAAAAATTATAATTTATCTAGAAATTATCATTTAAAATAGTATGTTCTAGAGCATTTACTTAAATTACTAGAAATACATATTTTTTTCATCCTAGCATGTAGTCCACTATCTTTGAACTTTTTTAATGCACAAAAAATAAGTTATTTATGTCCTTATGTACTCTGGAAGTATAGAAGTGTGGTATATATAACAAAAAAAATCTCTTACAGTTCATACAATTTATTTATTTATCGAAATTTAGAAAAGAAAAGAAAAAACCATTGTGTATGATTAATATATTAATTCTACAGTAATCTTTACATATAGGAAATAATCCAATTTTTTTTTTACAAAAAGAATTGGCATACTTGTAGAAGACTTTACCTATTAAACAAAAATAGTGAAAATCCTTTTCAAAAGTCAAAAATTTATTTGCAAAAATTTGCAACTTAATTCACTGGGCAATTGAGTTATTTTATTATTCCAAAGAATGGTTGCGTAATTAGAAGAAGAAGAAGAAGAAGAAGAAGAATATATATATACATATATATATACATATATATATATACATATATTGGTTTTTTTAAAATTATCCTTAAAAAACTTTTTGTGATTCTAGAATGCAGTTGAAAAACTCAATTTGGTAAGAATTAGATATTGTCTAAAGAAAGAAATGATTGTAAAAACATCTTTCCTCCAACAAATAAATGTTTTATTTCTTCAGACTTAAAACATTTTTTGAGATTATTCTTAAGTAGATTAAGAATAATAGATAAAATAATAGCATATCAATATATATTTTAAAATCTTACTTCTTGTTTTTAATAAATCTAAAATGATAAGATTAATTAACGCTTGATATTATAAACTACGATACTTTTATGACAATGTAAACTATTTATAACAGATGAGTTTTTATAAACGTCATTTATATTAGATAAAAAGTGACATATCTATGACTTTCACATGTTATAGTATAGTTTTTTGGACCAAAAATACCTTGTGAAGATTAACAACTTTTACTTGAAGTTATTTGTACTATATAAATATTTTTTTGTATTTTTTATTTGTTAAATTCAGATAATATTTTCACAAGTTGAATTTTAATTTCAAATTAGTTTTTTATTATTACCTTTTATTATGAATTTCTTGAAAAAGAATTTGATTTGAAATAAGAATGACTATCTACTTCATGATGTTGATTAATGTGTTATATATATGTATATATATATATTTATACATGTTGAAAAGCACCAAAATTCTAATTTACATATCTTATATATATATATATATATATATATATATATAAATATATATAATAGAGAATTATTATGGCAAAAATACAATAGACAACTTGAAAATAATTATTTTATAGTTTATATTTTACACTATATAATTGAAAACGTAAATTACTATAAAGAATAAATAAAAGTTTATTTGATTAAATAAAATCGTAATTGTAAATTGCATATAAAATATGTCTCTTAAATACATATTTACATACATATATATCAATCAGGAGGCATGTGAAGAGAAATCACAATAATTTATGAATTTTGGTATGTATTGCCAATATAGGGAGCGGATCATGTATACCTCCTCTAAAAAATTGTATTAACTTATGCAAAAAAATTGAACTACAATTAAAATCTCTTGGCCGAATGGATTTAACATAGTCAACACCCATGCCACATCAGCAGAGAGATAGAGAGAGAAAAATAATAAAAAATAAAAATAAAAATAAAAGAAAGAGAAATTGAAATCACACACACAATATCTAAGAATTTTTTGAAAAAGTTTAATTTTTAATTTTTAATTTTTTAATCTTAATCTCCGAATACTCTAATCACTAGCACCGCTGACACCAAAGTATGTAATCGGGCCCAATTACCAACGCTGCCACATAATCACCATCTGCGTAACACGGATGACGCAGGCCTTCGAAGTCTCTGGAACAGAGGTTCTCTGTCTGGAACGGGAGTTCTCTCTCTGGAAAGGGGGTTCTCTGTCTAGAACAGTCTCGCAGGTTTGCTCTAGAATCATCCAGAGAGTCGATCTACTCACTTCGATCGCTTTCTCCTTCGTGGCTGTCTTGCCTATATAACTAATGCATGCTCCAGCCCCGCTGTATCAACTGCATTCTTGTCATTCTTGTTCGTCCCGAGTTGAAAGAGCGAACGCATTAATTGTGCTCACTCTTCGTGAATTTCGACTGCATCGATAGAGCTCTTATCTGTGTTGGAGAGGTACAGTGGTGGTATTGAATTAGCAGTTGTCGCTCACTGTAGTGTGGTCCGTGTTCTTGCGGAATAGAAGTGGACATGGCGCTTTCGTTGCTCGGTGGTCGTGGCAACAGCATTTTTGATCCTTTCGATTTCGGCAGCGCGTGGGATCCTTTTCAGTCTCTGCTGGGATCTGCACCGTCTTTGCAGTTTGCGCGAGATGCACACAGTATGGCCAGCACTCAGATTGATTGGTGTGAGACCCCAGAGGCGCATATCTTCAAGGCCGATTTGCCTGGGCTGAGGAAAGAGGAGGTGCACGTGCAGGTTTTGGATGGGAAGGTATTGGAGATCAGTGGAGAGAAGAAGAAGGAGGAGGTGCAGAAGGGCGATACCTGGCATCGTGTAGAACGCAGTAGCGGCAGTTTCTTGCGGCGTTTCCGGCTCCCGGAGCATGCAAATACGGAGATGGTGAATGCGCAGGTGCAGGATGGAGTGCTGACGGTGACAGTACCAAAGCTTGAGAAGCCAAAGCCACGAGTGCGACAGATCGAAATCGCTTGAGTTTTGTGAAAAAATTCACATCGTGGTTCACCTGAGAGCATGGGGCTGTGAGTTGGCATTTTATTTTGTCAAATGAAGACTTCAGCTTACATATTTTGTATTGGAGAGTTACAGGAAGTAGGCTGTTGATTCTCATGATTTCCAGATTAAAATGATACATTTGTTCAGAACGTATTATATGTAAATAAAGCACAAACTCATCGCCTCGTTTCTTTTAGTTTCAAGTGTTTGTCTGATGTGAAGATTGATCTTGGGAGTTTCCCACTTACATCAATAGGCAAGCTTCATAAGGATGATTGTATCATGAAATTGTTTCAGTGCTGCGCGACGTCTTTAATATGTCATGAGATACCGTTTGAACGATTCTTCTGACGAAATTAAAGAGTGACACAAAATCTATCATTAAAAAAAATAACAAATAAAATTTGCAGTTAAATTAGATGGAAATAGCAGTGATATGAATTTTTAATATCATGCAAACTTTTACATAAAAATAAAAACATTATAATTCAATTCGTAAAATAATATAAAATCATTTATAACTTATCAGTATATAACAATTGGACTATAATTTTTTAATAGCAAAAGCTTAAATCTTTTTGACCAGTAATCATACATAAACATTACTTCAAAAGCAAGTTTTTATACTTACATCAAAAGACACCTTCATATCTAAACTAAATAGACAAAAATTTCAGATTTCTTACAAAGATATTTTATCTACTTTGTTGATTGCTATATATATATATATATATATATGTGTATATTTAATACTTATTTCTACTTTTTTTAGTAATAATTAATTTTGACATTATCCTACAATGTCAAAAATAATTGTATAATATGAATATTATTTTTAAACATTATATATATATATATATAAATCTTTTTTAATTAATTTATAAATAACCTTTACATATATTGATTATATTTATTTCAAGTATATAGATTTTAATTTTATTACAAAATATTACATTACTTTATAATTAAGTCAAAATTTATGAATAAATGTAATATATGATTAATTTGCATGACATTAGTGATTCAAAGAGATAGTTTAGTTGTTCTTTAATTCTATAAAAGATGACATTTATATTTGTTGTATATAGTTGAATTTGGTTTTTTTAAATGGATACAATTAATATAGATCAAATAAAGATAGAAATTATTTGGATTATGTATTGAAGGCATATCCAAATTAGATTATTTGTACTTGTGATAAAAAATTTAAAAATAGATTTTTATAATTTTAGGATTGTAAAAAGAACTGATAAAGAATTTCTTCATGTTATTGCTAATCTTATATTAAACCCAATTCTACTTCAAATCAACTTTGCATTCTATATCTTACAAAATGTATTTGATAAATTGCATTGTTAATAGGATAGATGTACTTATTAAATCTTCACTTAATATTTTGAAAAACTATGATTTATGCAAATTTTATTTCCTCTAGGTATTCATAACATTTGTTTGAAGTCTAAGCTTGGCTTATAGCTAGAATTCAATGCTTTTGCTTCTTCTAAAGAATCTTTGAGAATGTCAATTATGCTATCATGATTAGTGTGTTGAGCCTTAATTTTGTACTTAAGTAGAATTCATCTTTAATAGCATTTTTTTATATCAAATTTATGTTATTTTTAGTATACTTTAATACACAATTATTATGTCACTTTTATTCATTTGTATCTCTAACTTTCTTGACTTCTTCTCTAATAAATACTAATAGTCTAAAATATTTTGTGAATCTACAATATATTGCAAATATAAAGCTTAGGTACCACAATCAACTTACAACAATAAATAAAAAATTGTATGCATCACATTTATTGCTACTATATCCAACAATACAACAAATTTGTACCATTTGGACTTCATTTGGTATAGTAATCTATAAGTGAAGGCTAACTAGAGGACAAAAGACAAGTTGAAAGGACCTTACTTGTACCAAAATGCATTGATTTGCTCTACCTTAAAATTGTCTTTGGTTGCTTCTTGAATAAACATCGCAAGAATAGATGGAGAGTTTGTTATCTAAGGTATTTTAAAAGCATATAATTTCCTTTCATTAGCTAAGAAACATTAGCTAAAAAAGGATAATTTATTTATGTGAATGCAAAACATTTATATATATAGTCTTGTTGAATTGATAAGAAATAATGCAAGAATTTGGCCTTTTGAATCTTCATACATTAATATCAATGGATTATAGTATTGAAGTTCTTCAAATTTGCAATCACAATATTTAGGATATCTTTTGTTTTATTTTGGAAATAAAAAAATAACTTCTTCACTTTGAAATTGTATTAAGGAATGAAACTCAAACAAATAAAAATTCAATATATTCTTGTATCACTCAAAAAAAGTAGAAATTCACTCAAAACTAATATAGTATTGAAATTAGAATGGTTATTGCCAAAAAGAAGAAGATTAAAAAGACTTAAAACAATTCTAAAAAACACGTTGACAAGAATGAAGAAGGCTTCACTCTCACTTCCATATATATTATTTAACTAAGAGCTACATAGTGACATTCTATAGGACCTCCAACATGTGTCCAACTTACGAGACTTGTGTATTAACTTATAAGACAAGTTTTTTATAAATGCATCATATAATTAGCTTATATCAAATGAGTCATTAAATCAATTCACTAGTTGTTTTAAGACAAAAAGATACATTTAGAATGCTTAAAATCACAATATATGGTGAATAGTGTAGAAGTCTTTTAGATAAATAGAAAATTAAAATGTTAGTTGTAAAAATAGAATCTTAATAAATCTTGGAGGTAATTATCTTAGTTGATTTAGTATTTTTATTTATTATTGAGAATTTAAAGATTATTTATTAAGATCAATATTTATATTGATCTTCTATCTATATTTATTATTTATTAAAAATTATAAATATTAATAATTAAAAGAAGTATGCAAAAAAACCTCATGTTATTTTAGTTATTTATATTAAGATTAATAGTAAATTTAAATTAATTTTATTACTATAAAAAATTATCAAGATAAAAAATTATAGAATTAAATCAATATTAATATTATAAAACCATTATAAGAATGTTTAGAATTTATTTAGAATTTATTTAGAAAATTTAGAGTAATTTTTAAGACTTTGATAAAAATGAATTTTATTACTTTGAGAGCCATTATGAAGAAATGGAGCAAGATTTGAAGGCCATACAAGATTCTTAGGCTCATTAGGTATTTTTGAATACCACGGTGAAGGCAAAGATGCAAAAATATTGGATCTACTAATAAAAAGTAGGAGGATCAATGGCTAGTGTAGTCTTTGTAGGAAATGAAGTATACAAATTCCATATAGATTGTAGTACCTTGAAGGTAGTTAGGAGGATAAGACTAAGGCCTCGTAATCTCTCTTAGATACCCATATACACTACATGTGAGCCTTGATGAGACTCGAATCCTTGATCAATAAGTAAGTTATACTTGAGATAAAATATTTTAATTAATTAATTAATTAATTATTTAAAAACCTTTATAACTTATTCATAGTAATTCGGTTTTATATATTTTTTATTCTCTTGGAAAGATAAAAAATTATTTTTTTAAAAATAAAATTTTAATTTTATTTATTTATTTATTATTTTTTACTAAATAGAAATATTGAAGAAAAAAAACTTTGAATATACCAACATATAGCATCAAAAAAGTTGCTTGCAAAGAAAGTATGGAGTAAAACATCTCTCACTTCCAATATCTATTACTTATAGGAGGTGGCTACTATCTTAATAGACAACTTCTATCCTTTGATGAATACGTCTATCTAATATTTTATCGAGATTATTCATTACTATCTTATCTACTATGAGAATATGTCTTTAGCATATTTTTTATATCCTTAAGATCTTTTGTCTATTCACCTACTTTATTTTTTAGCTTTTTTATATATCCAGAGCCAATCCTTTAATCAATAATAAATTATTTAAAGTAATATCTTTTATTGTATAAATCATTTTATTTTTATATTTATTTATTTATTTTAAAACTTTAAATTTACTATTAGTTTAAGGCTTTCAATCCTAATGCTTTTGTCAACATGCAATGCCTATCCTTTACTAATATTTTTATCAAAAAATCAACAAGGATGTCTTCCATTGTACAATACTTCATATCAATTACTTCTATTTCAATCTTCTCTTTTATGCAGTTGTGTTGAATGTCAATATGCTTGGTCCTTGAATAATACTTTGGATTCTTTGCAAATACAAGACATCCTTGATTGTCACATTCCATTGAAGTTGCTTCCATATGTATTATTTCAATGTCTTCTAAAAGTTGTCATAGCCATATTGCCTCCATTGCACCATAACTTGTTGCAATGTACTTGGCTTCTATTGTTGATCTTGTAATTGTAGGTTGTTTCTTACAATTCCATGAGATAACTTCTATTCCAACAAAGAATACATATTCTATTCTTGATCTTCTATTATTTACATCTCCAGTCCAATCCACATTACAATAACCATAGAAAGTAATGTTATCACCTCTAAAGAATAATTTGAAATGCAAAGTACCTTTTAAGGACCTCATGATTCTTTTGATGGTTGCTTAATGGATTGGTCCAGCTTTTAATATGCGTTGGTTCATAACACTCATCATATATGTGAGATCTACCTTTAAGCCAACCATTGCTTAAATAAGTGAGTTTATTGATGTCTTGTATGGAATATCTTGTATTTGACTTTCAACTTCAACAAAATCTTCATTTGAGAGCTTCACCAACTTCAAATTAGCCTCTAAAGGTGTATCTATAGGCTTACACTCTTCTATATTGAATCGTTTCAACACTTCTTCAATACACTTGTTTTGGCTCATTGTAATGGTCTTCTTAGCATGATTTCTCACAAACTCCATTCCTAAATAATAGTAAAGCTATCACAAATCACTCATCTCATACTTCTTTTCTAACTTTACCTTCAATTAATCCATCATCTTTAATGTATTAGTTAAGATGATCAAATCATCAATATAAATGATGGTAATTAATATGAATTCACTTGATTGCATCACATACATAGAATGATGAGCCTTACTTCTTTCAAATCCTTCATTCAAGAAGAATGTGTCAATATATTGATACCATGCCCTTGATATTTGCTTGAGCCCAAATAAAGATTTCTTCAACTTACAAATAAGGCATTGTTTGCCTTTTTCAATAAATCCTTGAGGTTGATTCGTATAGATGTTCTTTT